ATACGAAATAATCTTTATATCATAGAAAAAATACGGTTAGGTATTTTTGGGGCGAGTAAAAATAGTATCGTTTAAAGTCTTATTGATCGGAGCCATACAAAAATGTATCCAATAAACACTTTCAAATTAAGTTGATGCAAAAGAGAAAGTAGATAACAAGCCCAATAAAAATAAATTTCCAAAGTGTATCAACTTAATAGATTAATTGCAAAACAGTAATAGCTCAATAAATCTTTCTAACAGTACTTTAATTTAACGAATATGTTATATCATGTTATTTTCTTTTAGATCACTTCTTTATATTTGCCAAGAACATTAATTAATATTACTAGCTCGAATAACTATTAAATAGTCAGGGCAGGTATGTCTTGTTTGTAATTATAATAGTGGGCAGACAATGATCTGGAAATTCTTGTATGTTTTCTGCGATGGGTAAACATTTATGGGGTATGATCTTATTTTCTATATTATCTCGTACTTGGAACTCTTGACGTGAATATAGTTAAATACTAATTCTTTCTTAATATCTTAAGAGTCGAGTTATTCTTTCTTTTTTTTCTTTTTCAAAAGGTTCTTCTCGTATTATAATTTCCTGGGAATTAAGAAATACAGAAAAGGATCAATGTTTTTAGGAAACATGTACATTGAACGTGAGGTCCTTGCAGGAGTGAGCCTTTTCATGCGATCGTATTTAAACACAAAAAACTTCTGAAAGCAATTTGTTTTTTAGGTGTATATTAATTGAAACAAGTTTAAATTTATTTTACATAGACTGTTAAACATTTTTGTACGGCAGGCTTAAAAGTTACGAGCAACTTTCTCAGTGGACAAATTACGACAACTAAACCGGGTTATATTAAACATAATTACGTATCATTTAATTGGAAGTTTTTCCGTGCGCTTGATCTATTTTACTGAATCCATTAAAACAAATTTAAATTAATTAGGTAATTGATGTCTTACATCTAAATCGATTCGTGGGCGAAACGATAACGATGTGTGGGCACATGTTTCGTACATAGTATAAAATCGGCAATTTTTACTTTAATGATTACTGTTAATTACAAAGTGTATAATAATATATTAATATCTACTTTTATTTGTAGAATTATAGATGAAATTTATGTATAACTCACTCAATCCTCAATTGAAATCAGCTTTCGAAAGCCTAAAAACTTATTTGAAGGTAACTAACACAAAATCAAATCATTCTCTTATAGTGTACGCACATCGCCACACCCACAAGTACTGACATAAACATTTATGGTTAATGTTTTAATAAAAGCTTGATTGGTCAAATTATTACCAGAATTACATCAACCGAATTTGAAAATAAAAAGATATCAATTTATGCTGAGTAATATATCTTAAGTAATGTTTGTACATTCGATACATTTATCAATTAATTACAATTTATAAGATTATGTTGCTTCTTTAATGAACGCTTCCATTTAGGCAGCTATAACATACGTGTATATGTGTTCATTAGTAATTGGATTGCATAATTGGTGAACTAATGTAAAATTTCAATTAAAAAACTCTTAATTTAACATACTCATGACTGTATGTTGGTACTACTTTGGTTTCAATGACTTGAAACTCAAAAACAAAATCAAAATAATCAAATGATCTGAATTTCAAATAACACAAAGCAGGAATCGCACGCTGATCTTAGTTGCAATCTAAATGTCACTAGAATGATCAAATCGCTTGTTTACGTGACAGACATTCAAATACACTCCATGACATCGATCGTATCCATTGACTGCTTAAACTTATGTATCTTTTCAGCAACAGTTCATCAGAGTTGTATGAAAATCACGATAAAGATATGCTGCATCGAAAAAAGGATATAAGAAAAATATTCCTTCCACTTTCACACAAACAGTGAAGTTTATGAATGGAACTATAAATATTTTGGACAGTACATTATTGAGATAACGAGAAGTAAAATGCTTGCCCATGTTCACGGTTGCAGTGAAGAAACCGAAACTTTGAGTGAAAGGTAATATTGTACAATAAGTGCGAAAACCATACTTTAATTCACACGTGTGCTCGCGAAAATCTTAGTTAAGCATAAAAAAACTACCTCGCTTAATTTTGTTAATAATTAAAGTTTTAAATTTCTACAAAGAATCTCATCTCCTTTATTTTGTGATTGGTTAGTTATATGAAAGTTATAAGAAGATTTTGCAAGATATAAAACATGAAAAATGTATAATGATGTCGGCTATCATTTATCATCAATCAAAATGTTTCATATTCAAGTGCATAAATTAAGTCATTCTTTACAATTATATTGTGACTTTGATCATCAAAAAGTTCCAAACTAAATGACATTAGGGCGGAGTATAATTTATCAAAAATACATAAAGGCATGTCTACATTAGTTATAATTTTCAATTAATAGCACTTATTGACAATCATAGCTTACGAATGCGATTCTCAAGTATGCAAAAACATTGTTAAATCCAGATAATTTTAATTAACATATTTATAAAAAAAGCAAAGTGCTTAGTAATAAACGAAACTGTAAACAGGATTTATAATGTTACAAAATGTATTCCAAGTGATACCTACGTATGATATAGATGTATGGTGTTCAACGCTTAAAGAATCCATTTTTATCTGAGACCTAATTTAAGGTTCTTGATTAATTGCAAATTAAACTGCTCGCCGGAGGTTTCCCGTCCGATATGACTTTATTGAATTTCATATAACGTGATTTATGAACGGATTCATGGATTTATTATGGACATGCATCGGAGCATCGATTAACGTTGTGCGGTAATTGTGTGAATCACTCGATAACTTGATTTAATAACTCATTCGATAACTTCATGCAAAATTTTATGCGGACGATACGTATTATGGTCATAAATCTTTTTATTCGTACAGTGAAGGCTAGATTTATTTTTATTGAACTTTAAAATTTTATATTTTCTTACTTTTTCATTAATAGATTAGATTAAATTCGGTTAACATATTAAAAATTTACTAATTGAAAACGACTTCAATGTACACAAAATTACAAATTACACTTCAAGAAGATCAAATTTATCTGATAATTTTATTCTTTTTTTTAAGGCAATTGCTCACAGTATTATGCGATTAGAAAAATGAGAATCCCTCACCTGCGTGAATATCATATAAACTTATCTTCTATATATGTATATAAAAATGGATTGCTGTTCCTTAGTCTCGCTAAAACTCGAGAACAGCTGAACCGATTTGGCTAATTTTAGTCTTGAAATACTCCTGGAGGTCCAGGGAAGGTTTAAAAGGTGAGAAAAATTGGAATAATTGCCGAGAAAACCCTAAAAACAGCCCTTTTCTATTTCCCATACAAACGTGTTTTTTTTGACATTAGATTTGACAACTAACTAATATGTCAATCATTCTGTTTGATTGAAACAGGAAAAACCTGATTATTTATGGCCTCTAAAACGGAATAGAGTTCGCCTGGTCAGCTATACCTACATATATTACTCTTGACCAAACTAAAGCGGACGAAGTCGCGGGCAAAAACTAGTATGATATAAATATGTATCCTAATTAATTTAGATTAAAATATTTAAAATCTGTTATAACAGTGTATTTATTTTATTAAAAGCCTTTCAATAATTATTTTATAACTAACAAGCTATTCAATAATATTTCTTAGCTAAATTTAAAACAATGACAAAGAATTATTTCGCATTCAATTAAACTAATATTACCATTCTATTGTCAATCCGTACAGGAAGGGTTTCGTGGACGATTGAATAAATCAAAAGTGTCATAATTAATTCAGACCGACCAATAAGAGTCTACAATAACCATTAAATCAATTTTAAACAATAAAAGACAACGTCCTACTTTTGGCGCGTTAAAGGTGGACCCGAGCTAAGTCCGTGCATAATCGCTTTTATTACACTTCCCAGTAATAAATATTGGTCTACTAATATCAATTACGCGGTTACTGAAGAACAATTTATCAAATATAATACACGTTGAAATATAAATAACTAATGATAGAACTAGTCGAACAAAGTAAATCATTATAAGAATCTCTATTAAAACGTTTCTTAACAAATCGAATATATATTATCAACGGCTTGGCTTTATTTACATAAAACATTACTCAGTCAAATGGTGCGATGCTTCGTATAATATGTTGAAAATATATATCACTAGAATAAAAAAAAAGAATTAGAGAGCTCGCAATAGGAACAGTTATATGTGTGTTATTAAAACTAGTTTTAAACTCGACTTCTCGCTATATGGTTTCAATATACGTTCATTTTGTTACCAAACCCTACTATTATTCACTTATAGCCATGGTCTGGTGGCTGTCTAGCTTGTATATAGGTGACGGACAGACTAACATATACAGATCGTTGTTTCATTAACTCCTGACATTTTGTTTTGGCGCTTTAAATAAATGCCTGAGAATTGATGGTCCGTCGAGGGAAGCTTCTGACTATTAATGAATCTTAACAGATTATATCGACAAAAACTCTTATAAAATATCAGAGGATATTAAATTACAGTTATCTCTTGTGGCAAAATGAGTTATCAAATATGTTTTTTGCTTGTGTTTATTGAGCCGTCGCTTCTAGCTCTAACAGACAATAATGTTTTTGATTACGTATTTGTTACCTTAAATAATTGTATTTAATTCATGTTCGTAAAAAAAACACTTTACATTTAGATAAACGAAGACGATCTGTATAATTTCTTATATAAAACTCTATAATATTAAAATGAATAAGCTTGTTTTAAATATTTTCTATATAAAATAAGATGATATTAGGACATTATACACATGTTATAGTTTTGTTTTAATTAAATCGTTTAACTTTTAACATTTTATGAAGCTTCGAAATAATATGGGAGGAATGACGAAATGGTCAATTGACTGTACAATTATTATCTTTGCTGTAATTTTATTATTAAAGGAGTAAAGCTAGGAGATATTACACATGTAGTACTGTAAATCATAAGGTTAATAAACTCACCACCAAGAATCGGTGATGGGCGCAAGCAGCAGTAGGCAGGCGGCTATAAAGACCGGCCGCATTTCTGCCCGGACATCACTGCCCAAGGCTCTATGTCATCTTACATGAGAGTCGTAACAATATCGTTTTCGTTAACGGTTCGTTTACGGTATTACTAATATACGGTACCGAAATTCGTGCGCGTGCGTTCCCTTTCGGAGGGAGATCTCGAGGCAGACTGACGCTCACCTGAGCCCACCCCGCCGCATGCGCAGCGCAAAACGATTTTCGCGCTATTTTGGCTAATATTTAGCGGATTAGGCTTGATTAGACATACAGGTGGGGATGTGTGGGCGATCATTAGCGATTAATGAACGTGTTCTCTGTCTAGTTATGGATATTCAATGTCTCTGTTTTTCGTATTTCAACAGATTGAATTAATTGTTTCTTATATGACATTTTAATGTCATTGCTATTTTTATAACTATTATCTTTAACTGTAAATCATATGAAACACAATGTTTGCACCTATATTAAATTATTATTTTTCAGAACCTTTTATAAGTGAATAGTGAGATTCCAGTAAGACGAAGCAAATTCTATTTCGCCGTGATGGACAGTGAAGTGTTATCTATTAATAGCACACACACACACACACACACATGTGCGTAACTAATTGTGTTAAACAAACAATCTTCCACCTGCATGCCTGTGAGATCCCGAATACAGCTGATAACTTGTCAACAGCCAGAGGGAAAGTGATATATGTGGCTGAACATTCGTAGACATCCAACAACTTATTTAAATTTATTACTAATTAATCAATTCAATGCTATAACAGTCAATATTTAAAGCTATATAATATTAATATTTAACGGCACTAAAGCTCGGATAAGCTTTTCGAATGTCATATCCATATCCACACGGGATATTAAACTATCCAATGGAGGGTTATTAATTCGTCTAAATGAACACATCAAGTAGAAACGTCGGCAGTGTGGCTAGTGTGTTTTAATAGCTAGCATTCTGTTTGCGGTTCGACTCGAGTAACCGTTTCGTGTTTTATGTATTGTGAACATATATCTTTGGTAATAAAAGAAATTATTATCTTAGTAATACTACAAATTAATTATCATTTATAACTTAATGATCATGAGATTTTAATAAAATCTACAGGCACATAAACAACGTTATCTAGGTATTGTAAGAGGTAAACGTAAATATTCGTGATGTAGAACCCGTTTAACTGATAAATGCCTTTATTACCCTATTAATGTCAAAAGCATTCTTAATTGTAAACATACATGTATTTATTGCTTCTCCAAGATTTTCTAACGTTGGGAGGTTAATATTTTATTTGGCTTCAATAGTTTGTATCGCGTTAATTTGTTAGGAAAAAAAACAAAACAGAGATGAATCTTTATAAGTTATTAGATTAAAAATCCAGTTTTAACTTTTTAATTAATATCCTAATCTTATACATATATTCTAGTGAGTGTTTTCTTAAACTCATTCATGGAACACGGATCGCGAAGATAATTTAAGAACACTGAACAAATAGCAAAACATTTGCGAGAAACGGTTACGAAATAAAACTGTTTATACTTTCAAAAGAATATTCAGAACCTTTGGATAACATCAAAGTATCAAACACGAACAATTGTTTGAAAAGTATTCGACAAAGGATTGTATGAAATAAAAGTTGCTTTCGTTCTGCTTTTGATATTTGTTTGAGTTTTTTACTGAAACTATGCAGCTGTTTCCGCACTTCATAATTGTTTCGAAAGTGCTTAAATGTTTGTGTTATAAATATTATATAAATGTACTCTCTATTGCGTAATTGTATATCAATTTATAATAATATTTATTTCTATAATAATTAACAAATCATTAATAATATTAAGCCTTAAGTTGAACAAAACCAATACAAGTGGATAATCCTCTGAGTTGAAAGCTTTATACCGACAGCACTTGTCACGGCAAACTAAATAGCCCTTTGCTCTAGAATGCAAAGGGCCAACACTCCCGCGCAAACAAAACATGTTGAGCACTCTTCAGTTAAAACGATTCCGATGTTGAGCTCCGAGCTGTACGTTTTTTGCTGGTGGAGCGTAAAACCAACTTATCTGATCGATACTCGCTTGATCTTTGGTGGTCGCTTCCATGACTAATATTTATAAAACAATCGGTTCAGGACATATTTTGCTGTAGAATTTTTGTAAATTTTTTTTGCTTTCATCGGTTTCTAGATCTTCTTTTTTGTTGTTATAAAATGTATATTTCCAATAAAATTATTATAAGATTTTTAAACGGCGATAATTATTAAATACGATTTAATAATGAAAACATTTCTATTCAAAAAATTTTTCGTCAAAGTCGCCTGATATTAATTATACTGACGGATGTTAATAAAACTGAAATAATAATAAGTCACCGAATATAAGTCAGTTCCTAGTCATTCAATTAGGAACGTATTCTTAGTGAGAAAAAATATTAAATAGTCGTAATATAATTAACTGCTATCTTATTTGGAAAAAAACGATATCATCGACATTTCCATCTTAACAGCGTGTTAAATATTCATATACCGTTTATATTTTGCATAATGGCCGTCTTATCGATAATGTTATAAGTTAGAGCATCACTAGCCTTATCGCGTCATCGATTAAAACATTTTGATTAGCTTTCAACCGGCCAGTGTTCTGTTATGTGAAACGTCGTAAGCGTCATTATACACATCACGCGAGCTGTCTTTTTGTGTGCAAGTCTAAATTAAATTCCATACATTAGACGTTTAATTCAGCAGATAGTAATACAATGACACGATGCCACCCCGGCCAAGTGACTGTGCAGGAACGGCCTGATATTAATCTGAGATCTCGTGTCGATACGTCTTGGACACTCGACATATCTATTGAAGTCGTGAGCTTGACGAAAATTTTAATGAATTGTGACTTATAATGACGCATGTAAAGATATGAAGTATAGTTTAATGGGGAGATACAATCTGAACATTCGGTTTAATCTATTATACGATATTTTTTTATTTATTTTATTCTATAACAACGATTTACCACTGTTTATAGTTAGAACGTAATTTTAATTAAAGATTAATGTAGTAATAAAATTTACACATAATTGTTCGTTTTATTTAATGTGAACAAATAGTTTCGCAGTGATAATAGTTTTTCAAATAGTATTTATTAGGACGTATGACTTCATATTACTGAGAACTGCAGTCCTTAAAGCAAGTAGCCGTCTGAGAAAAACAAATAATCGCAAATAATTTATATATACACATAAAACACATTTATTAAATCAACCGAAGATGAGATTTATTACAGATGTGATGATGCCATCTAAAATGCTTCAATTATTTTCGTATTTAAAGGACAAATATTATACCTACATATGGTTTTCTTCTTTGTTTCTTTTTATATTGTTTCACTGGTGTTGATATCTTCATATATGAAGCATTATGGACCTAAACGAGTCTTCCTAATATCGATTTAACAGTTTGAACATTTTGGAGATTAGTCCGAAAAAGTAATAATAAGAACGTTTTCTATGATGAGTAACTTTAGTTAAATATGAAATCTATCTTTGTAATCCTATATATGTATATAATATGTTGCATTTTCGTTCTTAGGAATTTAATAAGTTCCTTATAAGGTTATTTATCACTATTAATATATTTATATTAAGTGTGTTAACTTGATAAATGTCAAAAGATATCAAATTATATTCCGCCTTATTTTAAGCCCAAAATGAACAATAATCATTACAGTTCTTATTTCATTAAACGCGTGTCACAATTAGAAGTTCTGTGAAATAAATATAAAAAAGTGAATTAATACATTTATTGCATTTTAATGATTGAGTCCGTTCCCGATGTTTATTGCGGCGTCAAATCAATAGTTTGATACATTCGATTGTGAAAATAATTAGTGCCCTTCGAAAAATGCTCATTTGGTACGGGTGATAAATGTTTATGAGTTATTGTTTCTTGATGGAGTGTTGGAATATAGTGAATGTGACCAATAATATATTATATTAAATTGTACTCATATGATGTTAATAAGAACTTCATATAAACTTATATAGTATTATCCGAAGGGCTACTAGGATTAGTAAGACATAATATGGATCGTATTCGATTTAATTATTATTTATAGATAATCTTTAATAAAAGCCGAACGAAGTACTGGTTAAATGATGTATGAAATATATAATATTGTTTGTTCTGCCACATCCATATAATTCCAATGTCCATCCAGCAATTTAAAGCGGCCAGTAACATAAGTTAACAGTATTTTCATAATAACATAATATTTTATTAGTGCCAGTTTTAGTGTTTCGCGGTGAAATGAGTTACTTAATTAGTATTTAAACAATGGTGTTGAAACGGGCTGACTGTGAAGCGGTTATTCAATAAAACCGCACATTGGTCACGTGGTTTACTTTTACTTATCGTCAAATGTATACAGTAAGTATACCGTAAATAGTGCACCGTATATCGTATACAGTATACGGAATACAGATCTATATGGATCTTGTAATCTGAGCTTGTCTCTAAGAAACTGATATGGCGAAATTCATGACTACTGAATACGGTCATTTGAATTATTAATGTCTCCAATGTACGTAATTTTTAATGAGTGTTGCAAAAAGTATAATCATATAGATTTTTCATTGATAAAAATTAGTCAAATGCAAGTCGAATTTGCTCTCGTGGGGTTCCGTGGCAAAATGTACAATATTCGATGCTATACTGTGATCAATTTTTAATAAGTACTTTATTTATATTTATATGTATATAAGTTAAATAAGCAGCTATGCAGGTATGAAATAATTAACAGGATCCATAATTGATTTAATGTCATATTTTCTTGACGCTATATAATTTTAAGCAATAAAATTCAAATATTTCAAGCTTTTGAATCATATACATTGAAATAGAAGTTCCTTCAAAACTCTTATATTCTCCTAAATGCTATCAATCTAAGCTACCTATCTAATTATCAAAGAAAAAGTCAGTATAAACTCCTTAATCAAAATGTTTTTATTTATTAAAAGTATACTT